GTCATACAACATCAGACTGTCATACAACAACAGACTGTCATACAACAACAGACTGTCATACAACATCAGACTGTCATACAACAACAGACTGTCATACAACATCAGACTGTCATACAACAACAGACTGTCATACAACAACAGAGTGTCATACAACAACAGAGTGTCATACAACATCAGACTGTCATACAACAACAGACTTCAGTCAGAGGCTTCTTCAGATCTGCTGCAGGACAGACCGTTACAAGAGATCCTTCCTGTCCACAGCATCAGCATCTAGAACAACTCTAATGAAACCAGGATGATGAGTTACAACATTTAATTTACTTCTGGGAATAATCACAGCTCATAATTATAAAAAAAAAAAAAACCTGTTTCCTAGTGATTTGTTGTATTCTTACCACTGATTATCAGTTTCATAATGTTGTATTGCTGTCATCTTAACTATGTCTGACTATCACTTACTGATACCAGATCATTCCCTGGACATTATTTTGTTGGTAACACTTTACAATAAGTATCCTGATGCTGCTCAATAATTCAGGTAGAAAAATCTAAAAAAGTTAAATCTGGTCCTCTGGACATTCAAAAAAGCAAAACAACAAAAAAATGTAGAAACGTTTCGTCTCTCATCCTGAGGACTTCCTCAGTCTGAGGTGCTGTATTCAGCTCAGTCTCTTAAATAGCACCTTCTCAGAGTGGATCAACCAGTTTGCTGCTGACAACCAAAACCAGCTGATCACATGCTCAAGAAGGACCATCAGCCTAACAATGGATCATTAGCACCTGATGGCTGTTTACTGTTCACAGAGGGCTGAGTGATACTAGCAATCACAGCATTGTAAGAGGGGGACAGTTGAACCTGGAGGCTCCGCCCCTGTTTAATGATGGACGGTTTCTTTTCACAAAGATGGCCTCCTTTACTCCTCTTTCAAACCATCGTTCCTCTCTGTCCAGGATGTGCACATCTTCATCCCTGAAAGAGTGACCTCTGGCCTGGAGATGAGTGTAGACCACAGAGTCCTGGCCTGATGATGTTGATCTTCTGTGCTGGGCCATCCTTTTGGCCAGTGGCTGTTTAGTTTCCCCGATGTAAGACTGATCACCCTCCTGACACTGAACAACATACACAACATTACTCTGTTTGTGCCGGGGGACTGGATCTTTGGGATGAACCAGTCTTTAATGTATTTTGGGGTTTAAAAGCCACTGGGACGTTATGTTTAGAAAATAAACGTCTCAGTTTCTCTGATACCCCCTCAACATATGGAATGATCACTGGTCTGGGTCTGGGTTCCTCCTTTTCACCTGATGGCTGACTGGAGTCCTGTTTGGGTTTCTTCTTTCAGGAAGGCCCAGTTAGGATATCCACATTGCTCTAGAGCCTGTCTTGTGTGGGATTTCTCCTTCTGCCTGGCTCCTGAGCTAGTGGGGATGCTGTCTGCTCTGTGGTACAGAGTCCTGATGACTCCTAACTTGTGCTCCAAAGGGTGATGGGAGTCAAACTGCAAATACTGGTCTGTGTGGGTGGGTTTGTGGTACACCTCAGTTTGCAAATGTCCTCTATCAGAGACCGAGACCTCACAGTCCAAGAAAGCCAACCTGCCATTTTTTACATCTTCTCGTGTGAACTTGATGTATTTATCCAGAGTTGATGTGGTCAGTAAAATGTTGGACATTGAAAATGGAACTCCCCAAGGAAGTATAGTGAGCCCACTTTCTTTTTCTGTTATGATTAATGATATGTTTGAAAATTTGGAGAATGGAATGGGGTTTTCTTTATTTGCTGATGATGGGTCAATCTGGAAGAGGGGGAAAAAATTTAAATTTTATTGTAAAAAAGACACAAGAAGCAATTAATGAAATAGAAAACTGGTCCTTTAAATGGGGATTCAAAATTTCTATAGATAAAACGAAGACTTTATTTTTTACAAGGAAAAAGATATCAGAAAATGTAAAATTGAAATGATATAATCATGATTTGGAAAGGGTAAAGCAATTTAAGTTTTTGGGTCTATGGTTAGATGACAAACTTACATGGAAAGTGCATATTCAGAATATAATAGATACATGTAAGAGAGTGTTAAATGTAATGAGGTGTTTGGTGGGAGCTGAGAGGAAAGCACTGAAATCAATATACACAGGTTTAATTAGGTCCTTATTTGATTATGGCAGTAGAGCATTTGGGTCAGCATCAGTTACATTACTCAAAAATTTAGCTAATATTCAGCATCAAGCCTTGAGATTATGTACAGGTGCCACCAGAACACCTCCAACATCAGCTTTACTGGTGGAAATGGGAGAAATGCCACTTCAGCTTAGAAGACTACAAATAATTTCAACTTACTGGTGTCATTTAAAAGGTCATAATGGAAATCATCCATGTCAAGAGATTTTAAAAGCTAGCTGGGAAAAAGAGAAAAATAGATTAAATTCATTTGGATGGACTGTAGAAAACATTATAAAAGATTTAGATATATCCCACATAAATATTAGTCAAACAGTTCCTCAGTCTCCAGTTCACCCATCTCTTTTAACTAATGGTGATGTTGATCTCACTTTGTTGGAAAATCGTAAAAAAGAAAACATTTCAGATTCTCATTCAATACAAACATATTTAGATAGTAAGTATTATGGATATGTCCAAATTTATACAGATGCATCAAAAAACTCAAATAACAGTAGCGGGGTTTCATCCATTGTTCCAGAATTCAGTTTCAAAACAGGTAAAAGAATTACTGGTGTAGTCCCAGTCTACACAGGAGAGATGATGGGAATCATTTTAGCTCTGGGATGGATTGAGGAAGTTCGTCCATTAAGGAGTGTAATATGTTCTGATTCAAGTTCTTCATTATACTCATAGAAAAATAATCATTCAGACAGAAGACCTGACCTTTTATTAGAAATTCAATTATTAATTTATAGAATTCAAGCAATGGGTTTATTAATTACGTTTATATGGATACCATCACATATAGGAATAAAAGGAAATGAGTTGGCAGATAAATATGCAAAACAAGCAACAAAAAATCCTTACATTGATATTCTGGTACCATTCAGTAAAGGAGAAATCAAATGAGTTATTAAACAAAAGGTGAAGGACAGATGTCAGAAACAGTGGGAAGAAGAAAGAACTGGCAGGTGGTTTTATAACGTTCAAAGGAAAGTTGGTGCGATGAGGAGAACAGGACAAACAGAAAGGAGGAAACAGTCATACCCAGATTACGTTTAGGCCACACAGGATTAAACAGTACATTATTTAAAATGGGAAAACATCCTACAGGAAAATGTGACTTTTGTTTCCAAGAAGAGAGTGAATCATGTTTTATTATTCTGTCCCAAGTATTGAGCTGAGAGAAAGAACTGGCAGGTAGACCACAGGACAACAAACTACATCTGAATATACACGAGCTGTTGGATAAACTTCTCACTGCTGAACATGTTGTTTTTTGTTAAACTACCTTAAGAAGACGGGAAGAATCGAGAGAATATAGTTTTGATTGTTTGTTTGTTTTTTCTCTTATTTTATTATTATTTTATTTAGTTAATTATAATAATAATAATTATTATTTATTTATTTTTGTTAAAAAACTGTGTAGTATTTATTTAGCATCCCGATCTACACTCCATTCAGTAGATGGCGGTAATGCACATCTAAACGTGGCTTGACAACCGCCATAAAACACAAGAAGAAGAAGGAGAAGGAGAAGAAGAAGAAGAAGAAGAAGAAGCGGCGGCAGTGTTGCCAGATTGAGCGGTTTTCCTTCTGATTTTGCGGATAAAAATTGCTTTGGGTGAGTGGGGGGATAATTTGGTCGGATTTGGAGTCAGATCGCGGTTTTTGAGTTTCTATTAAACACATTTCAAAGAATCATTCATCATTATTTCATAACAAAGCTCCCCTGACCTTTCTCCATCACTGATTGGCTACTGTCATCTGCCAGAGCGTTCACAACCGAGAACTGGTGAGGCGGTTTCAGTGACACCTCGTTGAGTGGGCTGACCCGTACGTCGGAGCGGCCGCCATATTGGATGTGGCAGAACTGCCGGTCAGCTGATCGAAAGAAACAGACTGAAGTTCATTAAACACCGTTCTACAAAGTGTTTTTTGTTAATGCCTGTCATTCACACACACTGATACATTTGGAAACAAACAAGCACTAAAGACAACATTTATAACTTTTAAAGTGATGATTAAAAATGTTTACTCCTTAAATGTTGAGGTTAAAGGTATAAGCACTAAACCAACATGTGTATTAGAGTTTACAACAACTAGCGTGTGTAAAACTGTTACTGTGGGGATAAATATAGAAATATTCATATTGAACATTTAATCTGAATAAACAACACTAACGTTCACAATTAACTGATTTTGATTAATCACATTGATGGACATGTAAACACCAATATATCTTTACAGAGGGTGTGTGTGTGTGTATATATATATATATAGTGTGTGTGTTCAAACAGTAAATATAACAATGTATTGACTGGGCGGGTTTTAACAGACTTTTGGGCGGGAAAACGTGGACTCTATCTGGCAACACTGAGAGGCGGAGTCACTCGAGCGGTTCAAGATGGAGACGACGGTGGAGAAACTGGAGGCCATGGTGAGTGAAAAGTGAACCAGTGCTTAAATAAAGATTTTAAGATACATTTGATCAAGTTCACCGTGTCACTGATGAGCTGAGAAACAGGAGGTGAACAAGACGTGTAACCTGTTTATCTTAATTATTTTATTTAAGTGAAATCTGTGATTCCGAACGGTTTAAACTGCTTCAGCTGTTGATTCAAGTCAAGTCAGATTTATTGATATATATTTATATATATACATATTTAGAGCACATTTAAAACAGAAACTGTTACCAAAGTGCTTAACAAAAATATCACAACATCAAATAAAAAGTAGCAAGATATATTTACAGCACATGGAATAAAAATATAAAACAGAAAACATTATTAGAAACAATGAAATATTAAATCATTGATGCACACAACTGCCTCATTCTGCACCAATTATTATTTAATATTACACGACCTTTATATCTGTGTGTTACCGCTGTAAACTGCTGCAGCTCTGCAGGTAAACCGCTGCTGCTCTGCAGGTAAACCGTTGCAGCTCTGCAGGTAAAATGCTGCAGCTCTGCAGGTAAAATGCTGCAGCTCTGCAAGTAAACCGCTGCAGCTCTGCAGGTAAACCGTTGCAGCTCTGCAGGTAAACCGCTGCTGCTCTGCAGGTAAACCGCTGCAGCTCTGCAGGTAAAATGCTGCAGCTCTGCAGGTAAACCGCTGCTGCTCTTCAGGTAAACTGCTGCTACTCTGCAGGTAAACCGCTGCAGCTCTGTAGGTAAACTGCTGCAGCTC